GACAGTGCAAAGTCTTGCAGTGGCCGGGCTCAAAAATCTCTTAATTCTGTTTGACGAAAGAGGTGGGACTGATGCAGGCGAATTTGTTTAGCAAAGTCTGTTCAATAGACCACTCTGGGTTTGGTCCTCGGTAGTCAAATATTCAGCAATGACCTATGCGTGGGCTCTTCTGCAAACCAGACCAGCTTGATCCTGGTTCCCTTCACTCCGTGAATGGCCGGTATTCAGGCCTAGCGTGCTCAGGGATTGAGATGTGTTTGCCCAAGGGAGTTGTACAGGCTTGGAGACAATACAGTTTGAATAAAGTTGCTTTACATGGCCTCTTTCATGGAGTGGCATTTGCAAAAACTGTCTCCTGTTTGCAAATTTCCCAGACACCTGGATTTGTGTGTCACCTTTGTCAACAGCTCTTGATTCCTGCAGATCATCTTTCCCCAAGTGCCTCTGCATGGAGGTTGTGCTTTTATATATGGGCCTGACTGAGGCTGGGTAAGAAGTGCTCTGCACCTGGCAGGATCTTGCCTTTCAGTGGAGTAAATATTTGCTTTCCCCATGCACTGCCTGCGGTGTGTTGTTTGCAGTGTGGGTAACACACCCGGATTCCACAGTGATGAGCTTTGTAATGGGGTCAACCCATCCACACAGCGCCCCCTGCTGGTGTCGTCGGGAATTAGCTTAGTCCAGCCTTGGAGTGCCCTCTGGCCGGTGTCTCGCCCTCAGTTGTCTGTCTTCGATGCTCCTTCAGGCTCCGTGTCCCTTCCAACCCCAGTGCCCTTTCCTCATAGTACTTCCACACAGCAGGATCTGTGGGTCCTCCCCTCCCAGGGAATCCCAATCCCCTATACCTACCTTGCCTCAGTGACCCACTGCCTGTCATCATCTAGCTCTTGCCTCAGGGGCCAACTGCAGTCTGAAATGGCCACTCACCATTGGACTTCTGCCCTGGCTTCCTCCCTGCAGCCCTAATACCCTCAGGCCCCTGTATCAGGCCCAGACGCCTGGGAGTTGGGTCAGGCCAAAGCTCCCCAGCTCTGCCTGCCCTTCTCCAGCACAGCTCTGTGTCAGGAACCCTCTGTAGCCTACCAGGCATCCAGGTCCCTCCTGCTCCACAGCTGGAACAAGAGTGAGTGCAGCCTACCAGGCAGCCAGGTCCCTCCTGCTTCACAGCTGGAACAAGAGTGAGTGCCCCTCAGCCCTTAGAGCCTTTTATAGGGCCCAGCCTGGCCCTGATTGGCTGACTGCTCCTCACTCTAATTGGCCAGGGTTGCACAAGCCTCCTCTGACATATCTGTATCCCTCTGTCTGCTGGAGTGGGCTACGGAACCACTATGGCCTTATACTAGCAGGCCAAGATTTTCCATAGTGATGAGTGCTCGTCTGAACGGCTTAACAGATTGCTTGATGATTTGGATCACTTGATGTTTCCTTGTTTTGTTCATTCCCTCTGGGGCACCTGGCATTGGCCACAGTTGGAAAACAGGACACTGGGCTAGGTGGACCTTTGGTCTGACTCAGTGTGGCCATGCTTACGTTAGAGACCTTAGATGGGCCATACCACTGGGCTAGGTGGACCTTTGGTCTGACTCAGTATGGCCATACTTATGTTAGAGACCTTAGATGGGCCATAAATTTCAGAAAGTGCTGAGCACTCATCAGGGTGGATTGATTTTAAATCTCTGATTTCAATCATGATTTACATCAGCAAGCAGCAACCCTTCCTGATTTAAATAACGGATTTTAGTCTTGTTTGGTATTTGTCGTTTTTAGTTATTCTCTTATATTAGTATGTTGAAATCAATAGGTATTAGGCTCCTAAATACCTTTGAGTATCTGGACCTCAGGCACTTTTGAACTTGGATTCTACAAGATTTCCCCAAGCCTCACGGAGCTAGCAACAGAGTCTGGAACAGGGCTAGGCACTTTTGAACTTGGATTCTACAAGATTTCCCCAAGCCCCACGGAGCTAGCAATAGAGTCGGGAACAGGGCCCTGTTCTTTTGAGTCCTAGTCCAATGTTGAAACCACGGGACCATCCTTGCACTGCTCTCAGTTTGGTGCTGCTCTGCTGTAGTTATTTGGTAGCACCACATTCTTTCTTTATTATGCCCATCTAACCTTAGAGGTTTATAACTCAGCTAAAAATTATGCTGGAAATAAACAAAAAGATTCTAGTCCAAACAGCAGCTGGTTCTGTCCTTTCTTCCCCTCCGCTGGAGTAAATCTCTCATTTGGTCTAGCAGACAAAGTCACAGAAATCGTTTGCAGTGGAGACAATAAATATGCCATATCTGCTTGCGATAATAAGCCTCAGTGGGAAGCATCAATCATAGCAATCTGCTTTCAGAGGGCTCCAATATATTATTTCCTGCAAGGACTTGATCAGTCATCTGGTGCCACAGTTAAACAAATTGAAGCCTTGTGGTTCTATGGCACTGGGAAAGACAACATACAGTATTCATCACTGCTCTGAGCCATATGGTGCCACGTAAAGGATGGGCCTGCTTTGTGTGTATTCGGCAAACACAATTAGCTGCATGTGGTTCTCTGAACAGCTCATTTGTGAGATTTCCCCACTCCAAGTTTGTTTACAGTCAACAGTGTCACTTCTGCTGCTGTCAATGTAGAGGGGGCGGATTACAGGAACTGGACGCTTTCCAAATGCCCACCAATGTGGGGAAACAGCTCTCATTTACTGGAGGGTGGCATGGGGCCCACAGCTCATGATGGGATGGGGAGTCAGGATCCTGACTGTGGCATTGCCCCTGACTTACTGTACGATCTGGAGAAAGTCACTTTCTCCCTCTCTGTGCTTCAGTTTACATATGTATAAAACCATTCTAATCCAAATGAGCAGAGAAGGCAGTTTCCAAAACCGCTTGCATGCAACTGGCCGGGTTTAGTGTATTAGCCAAGGGAGAGCGCTTGGCAGTTCCCAAAGGAGCTGAGCAGGAAAAGCTCTTATCCATGTAGGACGTCTTGGCTATGATAGACTGGACTTTAATAAGTCCCATCCAGATGGTACAGCCTGGGAATAAAAAAAAAAACCCAACACTGCTAATTTCTGAGCTGTGGCAAACCCTCTCCCCACCGTGTGGGTGAGCTAAGCTGCCAATTTCTGTAGGGCACAATCTTGTGGGAAGGCCTACCCAACAGCCAGCAGGCTAGAACATAAGAACGGCTGTACTGGGTCAGACCAAAGGTCCATCTAGCCCAGTAGCC